ATTGTTTTGTGTGTGTGTGTGTGTGTGTGTGTGTGTGTTACATATTTTTACCATTGTTATATCATTTTTAAATATACATGATATGTTTCCTACTGAGTACTATTATTAAAAAATATTTAAAATATTATGCAACTCCATGAAATACTGTAAATGTCAATTAACACACCTGTAAGTTTAAATATCATGTTTTGTCATTTTAATTTTGTTGATTTTTTTTATGATAATTATTATTGTTATTTACATACACCATGATAACATTGTGTTTTTGTTTGCATTTATTTTTATTTAAATTTTTTTTTTACATTTACTATGTTAATTATTTTTTTATTGGCTATGTGCCATGTTTTTTTCCTACTATTGAGTGCCATTATTACAATTATTTTAAGTATTATGCAACTCCATGAAATCCTGTAAATGTCAATTAATGCATCTGTAACTGCACATTCTGTATCAATGCTGGCAGTTTTATAAAAGCTATATGTTATGAGAAATTACAGTGAATATACCACGGTTAAGGGGTGTTACACATGAGAGAATTAGAGTAATAAAGTTTGTTGCTTTATTTAACCACCATCATTTTGCAGAAATTCTGCAGCTGTGAGTCGTACGGTAATTAGCATCATGGGGAGACTCATTTCAAGCACTTGTCTATTTACAGCCGGGCTCTTCGTGGAGCGTGAGAGAGGACAGACCCTGACGGGGAATATCATCCCAACTGGAGAAATCCACTGAATAATCAGCCAATCGGACAGCTGCGAGGACACCACATGGCACTGTTGCCCCCCAGTGTTTATTCTCTCCTCCATTTCAGTTATTTACTGTAAGAGATGTATCCTCCACAGACAAGTCCCATCATAATACCATGCTTTTTATGGTACCTGGTTCATACTATGTTATTTATTTTTTACATCTACCATGATCATTTTTTTTTATTTATTGATTTTTTTTATTGATTATGATGATGTGATGATGATGATACATATTTTACATATACCATAATAATATTGTGATATAGTCATTTTTTTATTGTATTGTTTTTTTTTTGTTTGTTTGTTTTTTATAATTGTTTTACACATACAATGTCAATAACATGTTTTTAATTATGTTTATTAATTATTGTTTTTATTTGGTTTATTATTATTATTTACATATACCAGAATAATACCATGTTTATTTATTTTTGGATAGATTTTTATTTCATTATTTATTCATTTTTACATGCACCATGATAATAGCTATATTAATATTATTATTATTATTGGATATGTGCCATGTTTTTTTGTTTTTTTTGACATTTTTTAACCTCTCAACAAGAAGTACAGTGGTGGTACAATGATGGTATCAGTAATATCATGGTACTCTGATTTATACCATGGTACTAAAATTCATGAGTGATGGTATTTACATGGTGGTACTCCCAAGAATATACCACAGTATTGTGAGACATTTATGTTTTGTATGTTGTCATTGAATATCATGTCATTGTCATATTGAAAATAGGCCTATGCCATGTAAATTCCATGGTACATGAATATGGCAATTATTCAGTACAATGGTACCTCCACAATGCTCTGCTTTTGACAGTCTCTGATGACTGTTTGCTTGCTTTCTGCAGAGTGATGGGACAATGCAGATGTCAAGATTTCTTCTCTTTCAGTGGCTCTATTAGGACGCGTCATCATAAGTTGGTAACCATGGGGACGGATATCAGTTCTCTTCCATTCGCATTCAATGCATCCAGTGACGCGTGTGGCATCCTTGAGTGTGAAAGTGATGTATGGTGTGCAGTGCTGTCATAGCCGTCAGATACATCTGTCTGCGAATATACTGAGTTCATCATACACTACCATTCAAAATGTTGGGCTCAGTAAGATTTTCTTTTATTTTTGAAATAAATCAACTCCTTATATTGAAAATTTTATTTTCTTAAATGTGTATATATATAATATTTATAGAGTTTTAGCTTTTAGTTTTAATTACTTTTTCTTATTTGTAAGTCGCTTTGGATAAAAGCGTCTGCTAAATGACTAAAAGTAAAGTAAAAGTAACTCCTGTGGCAAGAATGCAATGCATATGAAGCAGCACAGCTGTTTTCAACATTGATAATAATCAGAAATGTTTCTTGAGCGGTAAATCTGCATATTAGAATTTCTGATTTCTGAAGGATCATGTGACACTGAAGACTGGAGTAATGATGCTGAAAATTCAGCTTTGATCACAGCGATAAATTACATTTTAATATATATTCAAATAGAAATCAGTTATTTTAAATTGTAAAAATACTTCACAATTATTATTTTTACTTTATTTTTGATCAAATAAATTGGCCGTCCTTAGTGGGGTGCAACTGGTGCGGTGCCATGACGAACTTGGCAAACAGCACCCCCCCAACCCC